CACCCCCGTGAAAGGCAGCGGTTGTACCTGAATGTCCGCAGAAATTCAGTAGAGTCTTCTCCCCTGCTGAATTCCCACAGAGTCTGTGAGGACACCTTTCACAAGGGAAGATGGTGCTTATCATTTGTGTGGTTGTTCAAACATTTATCCTCTTTTATTCGCAAATAGTACGCTATGTCCTACAGCATGGTACCAGATGCCTTGCTTGAATCTACTTGTCTTTTGGATGTATTTTTGCTTATATTGTCTACCATAAGATTGGGTTTATTTTGTGTTTTTTTCTTTTTTAACTTTGAAGTATTTGAATATCTTGCCTTGAAAAGATCAGTTAATGACATTTTTTTTTTTAAAAAAAAGGTTTTTCCTATTTAGCATTGTTAACTACAAGCTCTGCAAAACCCAGGAATTTAAAGTTTGAAGTGAGTCAATTCTGACCGAGTCCAGTGAGAAAACTACTTAAAAGGAAGAGACGGAAAAAGATGCACTGTGCAAACAGAAACATTTGTTTGAGCAGGAACTTAATCTCAAATTCACAAAATAAGTTTCTTAACCACTATGCTATGGAGGTAAATATAGTGCCTATACCACACACCTTTCAACTTTCATCCTGACTCAGAAATCCTCACTTAGATAAAAGTGTAATCAAACTAGCAGATGGAATGGAGGAGAAATCACATGGCAGATCTGAGCTTCAGCAGAGTGCAAGGACCCACGATCAGTACAGGGTTAGCTAAGCCAACAAGGCTGCACATGGGCTTCTTTGCAAGTGTGTATAAACCTGTACAAGATGCAAGGCAGTGAGGAGTCAGGCTCCTGACTTCTAAAACTAACATACTTTGTCAGAATAAAAAAATAATAATACAAAAATAACAACACCCTTACCTGACAAGATTAAGATTCATGAGAATGTTTTAGAGAAGACAAAGCAGTTCTTCATAAAAAACTGGAAGACTGAAATATTAGGTCATACGGTGTTATGAGAACAGGTCAATCAAGCACTGCCTCTGAGCAAGGTCTTTATTGTTTGAAAGAAGTGTCAGAAGAAATCTGTCTGAGATGATGACAGGGACATTCTGAATCCCACTTCAGTTGTCTTCTTTCACAGTGCTTCTCTGACCTGAGCGTTCTAGTGGTTTTGCTTTTAAAATTGAAAAAAGCAAGACAATGACTAAAGAAACAAGAAAGAAGTTTTACTATGCTTAAGTTGTATGATTACAATTTTCTGACATGGCTAGAACTAACCTGCCCAGATGAATAAAGACAGGGTTTGATACTCAGATTTATGAAGATTTTTAACTGGTATAAGTACATTAAGAGTTTTTCCTGAATAGTCTGTATCAGCTGGAAATGAAGATAGACCTGCTGTGATTCTCATCCCTGTAAAGTTTCTCATGACTTGCATCTAAACAATGTGGGAAAAAGGCACAAAACCAGCAACCTACGTATTGTAAGAGCATGTTATCTGCTTATTCACTTTCTGCAGGTACAGGAGCTTTTTACTTTGATATACACCACAGGTTCTAGTACACTGAAGCTGTCTGCTTTCTCACCATATTTAGGAACATTTGGTATCTTTGCATTTTAACAGAGAAACCAAAACATTTGGCTTTTTCAGCTTGAAGAAGTTCTTCAGATTTTTCCAATGCTGCAAGTTTCTTTTACACAATCACTTTTAACTGATAACTCTTACTTTGAACTTCCTTGAAAATCCTCGATATAAGTGACAGTTGTACACCTGGTGAACTATATGAAAAAAATTAATTGGGGAAATTTCCAGGGCAAAGGCATACAATTAAATAAAATAATATGGTAAGAACTAAAGTGAAGTACTAGATTAAAATATTTAAGAGATTTTATATTCATTACAAAGTATCTAATATCCTTATGATGCTGATAGCCCCAAAAATGGATCAAAGAAGGTAACGTGGTGATGCACATCATGAAGTGATAAGAGATGCTGAAACTTGTCCACACTCTCCAGTCAGACAAAATCCATTGGGAATTTCAGTCAGAGCTTAAATGAAAATATTTTTGGTGGAGAAAGACTGTGCAAAGTTGATACTATGTTTGAGAGGATGAGTAGGAAGTGAGGAGCAAAGAGCAGAAGACAGAGGAATAGAGAACTGGAAATAAAGGCTCCAGAATCCAAGTTAAAGTTCCTTCTGTTAAAGTCATAATGGGGCACTATTGGCAATGTTTGTATCCCTGATTTACTCTTTTTCCCCCTGTAGTTAGACATGCAATATTTTACACACAGTCTGCATGTCGATAACCATATCAGTTGTGGTTCTAATCTGTTATATTTTGATGCACATATTTACATAGATACTCTTATTTTAAGATTACCATTTTAAAATCCAAAGACTTGGTTTCAGTTCAATTAAAATATTTTTATTTTGATATATACATATAAAACAAAGTTAAATAAACAGATTCCATAATTTTGAGGTGTGATTAGCATAACTGAGACAAGTCTATAAAATACAGTATGTAAAAAAGTATCTAATTGTAATTAAAGTTCTGAGGCCTCTACATTTCAATAAAGTACTCAATCATAGTTAAAACCAAGGGCAATTTTCATTTTTCCTTTGCAAAACAGTGACTGAGAGTGAAAAAAACTTTTTATTGTTTCTTCAATTAATTACTTGTCATTCACACTGTCATGAAATCTTAAAGCTGGCACAAAGGGTTTGAAATTGAGTTTGGCTGGATGAGTTAACAATTCAAATGAGCCTTTTAGAAGAAGTTAGAGCAACCAGGTCCATGAAGAATGGAGAGCAAACCCCCATCTGGCAGCAGCATTGAACTTTGTAATGTCACAGCACCAGGCCTGGAGACAGCAAGAGATGGCTAGAGGGCTATAGCTAGCAAGTAAGAGACATGTATTATCACAGAGAGCATATGCAAAAAGGAAGTTGATTAAAAGTCAATAAAAATAAATAGATGAAGACAGAATCTCTGCTGGAGGGCAGTGATGACATGGAAAAGAGGGAGAAGGAAGACAGGTACCATCCAGCATATAACTCAGATTTTGCAGAAAGGATAATAGGAGCCTTTGGCTTCTTTGCTACCATGCTTCTCTCCTTCCCTCCCTTGATGTAGATGCACCCATCTTCTCTTGAAACCTAGTCAAAAATATGAAGGAAATAAACCTTCCCAGATTCCTAGCAAAAAGAAGATTCTGCATTAAGGTCCTACTGCCTTCTGCTTATCTGAACATGCAAAGCATGTCCTCCATAAGAAGCCAGGTTATAAACATTTTTCAGATAAGACAGTTACTGAGGAATAAGAGGAATTTCACCAGAGTAAACCCAGAGTGAAAGCAGATGAGATACTGACCAGTTCATGAGTCAGCAGAATACTCCTCAAAAGCCCGTAAACCCTAAGACAGATGAATGCTGGCTCAGGGTTAAGGGCAGTAACATACACAATTTGCTACAGCACAAAGATTTTGATTAAAAAAAGAAACAAAACCAGAAATACAAATGTTTCTCCACAAAAGCACTTGTACATCAGCTACTTTTGACACTTGAAACATATTCAGCCAGTTGACTCCCTCTGTGCACTGTACACTAAGGTAAGTAGCTAGGTCTAATGTGCCTTCTCCTCCCCTTGCAGATGAAGAATTTTAAAGAGAGGCATTATTTTTCAAGAGGCATACAATATTAAAAAATGGCCATTTCTTCTTTTTGGCTGGAAACACTAAAAGTCAGATACTACTGCAACAGATCTAGGTCACTACCAACGTGTGAATCAACCCTTTCAATAGTGGTTCCTCTAACAGGAAGCCTCGTGCTTACTGCAATGTGGGTTAAGACCATAAGAAACAGCTACCAAGTAGGGCTGGACAAAAACAAATACTGATGGAAGCGTTTTCAACTGGAATATAAAACTGGTCTAAATGTTTCACAAGATGATATTGGAGACAAGAGGCCTCAAAAGAAGTTTCTTTAAGCAACTGAATAGAAGAGAAAACCTTCATTAGTCCATCTCAGACAAAAGCTGCAGCTCAACCCTTCTTAAATATTAAACCATGTAGGAAACTAGAGAAAACTAGATTTGCATGGTCTATTTGCTTTTATTTTTCTGTCAACAAATGACATTATTTTAAAAAATGTGAATGGTTAATAAAAATTGAATGTGGCCTTTGATTACAGTCTTCTATATAATAGATGAACTTTCATTTTTTTGCTGTTAGCTGGCTTGTGAATGGTATTCCTGGAAGAGGATAAAAAAAGGCTGGAGGAATTGAACAAAGCATTTCTCTGGCATTTACTGTAGGGAAAAAAAAGTTGTTGTTTCCTGGTATTTCAGGCTTAATACGAGTAGGATGCTTTTTGACCTTAATCATTCAGATACCTTGATCTTATTGTACCTTCCTAGTACAACCATAACTTCAGGTGTGCAGGCAGATGACCATGACTGGGATAGGTCTTCAGAGAGTTGAATTTTTTACAGAAGTTCACGAAAGTGGATCAGATTTCTAAAAGCCATCCTGGATGCTTGGCCATTTCCTTCTGTGACACATGTTGTCTGACATCAGTCACCTAAAATATGGGCATGCAGTCTTAGCCTGTTGTGCAATTTTGCCCTTGAGTCTAAAGGTAAAAATGGTCACTTCCAGGTAGCAGCTCAACCTCTTCCTCCTAAAAGAGGCACCCTGGAGATGCTGCTCCGTCCATTAGCTAGAGAGAGAGTCCAGACAACAGAATAAACACTTAAGCTGGAGGGAATGGGCACCATGCTTGAAGTCCCCAGACCAGAGTGCTTTGAAAGCTCTGGGCTGCTCTGCTGGTGCTTATCCAGGAGCCACATTCCAGCTGCAGTGACAGCCAAGTAAACTCATGCTGGGCTCACTGATCTTTGGTACATGTTGCCCTCTTATGCAGCCACTCACAAGTTTTGTGCCAGTCTTCACCATCTATACGAGCATTAATGACAGATAACACAAAGTACTTAGCTAAGAATGATTTGTTACTCACTAGGGACATCTTACTTACGGTTATGACGTGGTTTACTGTTGGGAAAGGGCCGCCCTTGGAAGAAGCTTCAGTAGAACCAGCATGAAGGGCATCGGCTTCTGAAATGAGGGATACCTTTAAAAACAAAGCAGCAGAAATGCATATTTTTATTCTGACTGCTGCTTAAGAAGAGCAATTCCCTCCCTCTCAGGTTAGTATACAAATACCTGGCCCTATTGTTATATATGGTTGCACAACAAAAGCAAATAAAATTGCAGTTCTTGCTGTCCCTTGAACTGTTGAAGTGGCCAGATCAAGAATAAGAAGTTGTAACACATAATATCAAGAGAAAAATGCTGCTTATTTGTACACAGATTAGTCCTGGGGTCAAAACATTAGGACTCCCATAGCACAGCTGAATGCATTAATTTCTTCTCATCTCCCACACATACAAAAAGCAGAGATATTTTTTTCTACATTCTTTAAATAGATGAATGATTCTGCCATCTTGTGGGAGACAGAGAAATCATAACTATTTGTAAGATACCAACAGCAAGACAGAACAGTATGGAACACAAATTTCTTCTCTTTTTTAATTGTTTCACTACTCAGTAAACGAACAAACATTAGTTAGTAGTTACTATATTTCACATAGCCCGCAAAATAAGAATGAGTTATAGCCTCATGGAGGAACCTGAGCCAAGCGGTTGATTTTTAAGATATTGACTTTACCAGAAACTCTGCTCAGAAGTTAAAGGTATAGCAACTAAAAATCCTGGGGTTTTTTTCCCTAATGATCTGATAATGTGAAATATATACATTATTTAAATTCTCTCACATCTGTTAAAATACAAAAATTAGATAAGGTTACACAGATTATTTAAATTTTCTCACGTCTGTTAAAATACAAAAAATAGATAAGGATAATCCTTTCATAAAAGAAAAAAGGTAAAATGTTACAGAACTTTATCTGTAACTTTTTAAAAAATATTAAGCTAACATCCATATGTGGATTGCAGAGCACAATCCTCCAAGTCTATATAATCCTGGTAAATCTATAGCATAGTTTTGCAAAATGAGTAAAATAATTTATCATTAATTTGTCTTTGGCTGATATAGATTGTGTCCTCATTCCTGACAATTTAACGGACATACAACATTGCTTGTTCTGTCCTACCTTAATTCAACAAGGAGTATGTTGGAGTAAAAACTATTAATTTAAGCAAGTATAAATGCATTTTAAGAAAATAAGAGCTGAAAAAAATTATCGACCAGTTTCACCTCAAAGTAATTCTGGAGAGGCTCTCCTCCCACTCTACCTTTTTCAGCATGTAGAAACCAAACAGTAGGTCAAAAAAATGTATCACAGAACTGTACGTGATCACCACTGCTCTTGGGAACCTCTGAAGCTTGAGAGAGTGGCTTCTGCTAGGAAAGATGGGGCTTGAGGTGGAGCAGCCCGAGACACACGTTTATCCCTTGGCACTGTAAGCTTCCATCAGGGGAGTTACTTTGAGTTATTCTCTCCCAACCAAAAATTACCTTGGAGAAACAAGCTCATCTAGTTTATATTTCTTTGTAACAACTGCAGTGAACTCATCTAGTAAATCTAATACAATGTCATAAGAAAGCTTCTTAGATCAAGTACAACTGCATTTGTGCTTACATAACTGCTTACTAAGATCATTATTTTCCTTTACGAATCAGCCATTTAAGTGAATAATATTTTGTTTGGCACTTTGAACATAAAGATCTGAAAACCAGAATATAATAAGAAGGAATACAACAATTTAATGTTATTATAATTTCTTTATAACATAGTTTGGGAAGTATCTAAAAAGCTAAGGCAAACCTAGATCTAGATCTCAAATTCCCCAACTCTGAGTGATTCGATTTAAAGATAACAAGAAAACACAACCCATCTACCTCTGCCACTCTGTCTCCTGCTTGTACCCCAGCCAAGTCTGCTGCACCACCTTTCGGCAGCCATGCAGTCACAATCCCCTGGTAACACAAAAGACAGGTTTCAGACCTGACAAGGTTCCTTCCATTGTTCTTAAATGTAAAAAGCAAACGGGAAGTAATTAATTTTCAAGACTTGTTGTTCTGCTGCCTCTATTAAAATAAAAACTAAATGTCTTAGTACATTAGCAGGAAGAAAAAAGCCTCCATGGCTGACACATACAACAATGAACAGAAGTCATTAATTGTTTAAACTTCACCATGGGGGACAGACTGGGAAACAAAGATTTATTTAAATGCTAATTAAGCGAGAAGATGTGAGAAATACTTCTCTCTAATCAAGTTAGATCCTGGGAATGAGCAAATGGGATGAGAGAGGCATGTGGATTGCCAAGGGGGTGACCCCAAAGTGAGGTGGAAAGTGGAAACCAGCCAACGGTGTTTCAGCCATCAGGTTGTCTTTTGACAATCATTGCTTTACATTGGGTTTTCTCTCCAATATCATCCCTCCAGGAGCTTCCCCATCAAAATCTACTGCCAGCTTCTACTTTGGGAAATAAGTTACCCACGTTTACCCTTGTTAGCTTTATTATGAAGACAGTGATGTTACATTGAGGACAACCTCAGAAAGAAAACAACAAAACACAGTAGCTTCAAAGAACTGCTCATCAGTTTCTTTCTAATGATAACTAGATAAATTTTGAGTAATGAAATGCACCTCATCATTGTCTTTACATGGAGATGAGCCCTTTCCACCAGCAATGCTAATACCAAGACTCCCCATTTGACTGCACACAGTAATGGTTATCTGGAAAAGAATTATAATGGATAAGTGGCCTGATTAATCAAAAACATTGCCTATTAATTACATGAGCAACGAAAAATCTACCTCCCACTCTGAACACCAGCAGATTTGCCCCTCTAGAGCTCAACTAAGAGAAAAATAATGCTGTGCTTCAACACTGGCACATGCAAGACTAGTCTTTACTCTTCAATAACACCAAGAATGCATTATTTTTCCAGGTTTTAGAGTCATGCCAAAACCATATAAGGCTATTTATAAGTCTCCTGACCAAACCAGTTGTCTTATGAAACCCACTGATTTACTGAGGATTCACAATGGCAACAATGCCAGTACACAGGAGGAGTGAAAAGTAAATATTTTCAGTAAGTTGGTGAAAACCCTTTACTTTGGAACCTCTTCTACACTCTAATTTGCTTACTCTCACCTCTTTTGAGAACAGATAACTGATTTTGAGCACTACTAGACTAATGTTCTTTAAACAGGCTTTCTGTTTGTATGTGCTAACTCTGTCAAAAGATTTGGCAGTATTCTATTCCTTGACCTAAAAATATGAGGAAGCTTTTAAAAAAGCAGCATGAATTGTAATCTATCCAGTCTATTATCCTCCTGCTGGTATCAGCAAAAATTTAGTACAAAATCTTAGATAATTTTTTGAATTTACAGAATTCACAACAAAGAGCATATAAAATCAGATTCAAGTTCCAAAGACACCTCACATTTAGGAATTATTACCCCTGTTGTTGCTTTTTTGGCTGCCTTTTTTTTTTTTTTTTTTTTAGTATATAATAATCTTGGTAGTGAATAATAATTTGCTAGTTGCTAAAACAGCAATCACATTGAATTTACAGAACACCTCGCCATAGTATAGTGAAATTTTAATGTAAATTTCATTTCACCTTATCACATTAGCAAAATGCTCTTATTTTCATTTATGTGCTTCATATCACTAAGACAATTCAGATTTGAATAATTTGTTATATAATTAAAAAAAAATATTTCAACACAGTTGCATTTCAAAATTTAACGAATGTATGCAGTTACTCTTGCACATATAACATACTTATCTGAAATTCCTAATTCCTAAAAAGGTACGAAAATACCCTATCAGTCAAATAAAAACCACCCTGCCAAATGTTGCTTAGACTTAGCATTACCTGCACACTCAAGACTTCACAAGCTCATGATTACCAGCAGTGACAGGTCCCAGCACAGGTGTCACACCAGGCCAGCTGCCTTTCCCAGTGCTGCATCCCATGACCCCAGCGACGTAGTGCAATTCTGCATCTCCTGCCCCACGGGAGGTCAGCAGAGGTGTAATCTGCAGTGGCCACCCCTGGGAGCCGACCCATAAAGTATATTTCCTCCTCATGTACTCTGAAGCATACAAAGACTGGATATATAACCATTGAGTCAAGTATAGCTTTCTCCGTAAACTTCAGCCCAAATCTTTTAGTTCTTGCTGATAAATTTTCACTTGAATATTCCCATCCCTTTTCAAGGGATAGAGGCCTTCTCATGACCTGAGGGTAAGGCCATGCCGCTGCTTCTAAACCATGGATTAAGTGAAGGCTTAGCTGACTGCCTACCTGCACGCACCTTTGGCTTGACCTTACAATACCAAAGCTGGATATATAAAATGAGACAGTATCAAATGGCTAAAAAGAAAGTTTTTGGGTTTGGGTTTTTTTTTTTGTTTGTTTGTTTGGGTTTTCTTAATGGAAAACTCTTTTTCCATATAAGTCAGTGGGAGCCAGGACAATCCTCAGCTTACACTTTGTGAAAGAGAAGTCTCACGACATCTACCATGCAATGGCCCTCCTTCTTTGGATCTTTTATAACCTGCCTTGCACAAGAAGCAGACTTCCCCACGGACATGCAGGCTTCCCCACGGACATGCAGGCTTCCCCACGGACATGCAGACTTCCCCACGGACACGTGGAGCCCCACCATCAGCAAGCCCAGCCCATGCAGCAGTTCAATACCTTCAGTGGGGGCTGCAGTACATCCACCCTCTTCGATTCCTCTGGGATTCGGCCACTCTCCCCAGGGAAGCTGCCCGCTGCCAAGATGGGTAGCTGCACCTTAGTGTTAGTCCCTGGAAGAGTCTTCCCTTTCATCGCTGACTTGCGCTTTTCTTGAAGAGCTGTTCTGGTATTTACTTGATCTCTCATGCTATCATCGGTATCAAAAAGGCTGCCAGAAAACTTGGAAATAGGTTCCTGGGGGTTAAAGATAAAGGAGGTAAACACAGCAACAGCAGGAAGAATACCTACCTGATACCAGACCCTACCCATGTTAAACTGGATTTGTTCCTCTCTATGACATTGCTGTACATTAGCACTTGTTTCACTGCAGACAAAACTGCAACCCTACAAGTATCTTTCTTTTACCGTTATTTCTCTGGGCATGGTTTTCCCTCAATACAGGGATGGAAATTATGGGAACAGGGAGAGGACTGGGATTCATATAGCCTTTCTCTAGATCCCCTGGCATACACAGGCACATATAAACACACATACACCAAACTAAATCCTGCAATGCCCTATGAAAAGGGTGGAGCATGAGAATGAGACTATTTTGGGCAGCCTCTGGCAGCTCAGTAGCACTGAGTCCACTGGCCCCAGGCAAGAAACCACACACATGAAGCAAACTAAAGGGCTTTCCATACAGAAAATAAAACATTTCTCGTAGTTACTCAAGGCTCGCGTTCTATTTTTGGGAGCACAGGTGAGAGTGGGAAGGCAAGCCCCCTACCTGTGAATCTACGTCTCTAAAAAAATATTTTAAGTAACTGGACTGACTTTATTTAGCTACAAATGGCAGTGAGTGCAGACCTGCAAACTTAAGTGTTTAAGGGGACCACTGGAAGCAGAGCCTCAAAGGTAAGGCATCTTGAAGCCTGCTTTGAAGCCTGGCTCTAGGCTGTACCTCCTCTGAGATGCAGTGAGGAACTGACAATGTGACCCTATGCTTAGATAAACCACAAGGGCTTGAAAGAAGAAACACAGTTAAAACACATCCACCAAACAATTAAAGCTTCAGACAAGTTTTCAAAACAGTGACACTTTCCAGTTGTCAGTTATGCTTGGCAAAGTGGTTAAATGAAATTCAGCCATGATGGTCAAATTCTGTTCACATTTTAGGGATCCTTTATATTTAACTGATTTTTGCTCCTCAATTTGATAGGTTAGGTTGAATCAGATCTTCATATTTTCAGAATAATTATATCTTCTGTTAACAGTAAAATGATGTAGCAAACAAAGGACAACACCTTTGAAAATAAACCCTATAAATGTCTTCCTAAGCTTGGAAGTTTAATATCAGAAATAAAAAGCAGTGGCATTGCTACAAACAGCTGTGCAGAAACCCCACTGGACACTTTATGTTTTCAATCTATATCAGAGCTTTCCTACAATCTCCTTTTGGTTGGGATGGAAAGAAACATCGCCAACCCCAGAGAGCGCAAGCAAGGCATGACTGCTTCCTATTTTCACTTAAAATTAAAAGGGAATTTGTTTAGCCTGAACTCATACAAAACATTATCTTTCTTATCTTGAGAGATTCCTCTTTAACAGCACTGGGTTGATTGACCCATACCCATCAGTAGTGGTGGGGTGCCCTGGGTGCTGGGGAGACAGGCCAGGAGCAAGAGCTGGGAGTGGGGGCTAGAGGAAGGGGCACACCAGCAAGAATCGGGGGCTCGGAAGGCAGAAGAGGTTCTGGCAGAGGAGAAGGGATCCCAATTCCTTCCTCAACTCCAAGCAAACATCTAGTGAGCAACATCCTGAAAAGAAAAGGCTGCAAGAGTGCAATCACAACCTCCTTTCCCCTGGCTATGACCAAGAAGACAGCCAAGCTGCTGCCCAGGTGCCAGACACCTGGTGGGCACAGGTTAGAGAAACCACAGCATCCAGGGTTTCCGTGATGTCAGCATCCTGGAAAAATACTACCCGAAACTAAACATGTAATGGAGCAGCACTGCAACCTCACTTTCCTACCATCCAGTTCTTCGGAGACATGGATCTTCAAGTGCTGTTAACAACCTGCTTACCTGAAAGAGATGGAGGGATGTTGGTAACTGAGGATATAAGTAAGTGTAAAATAAAAAGCCTATGTACCTCATCATTGCCCAGGTTACTCATCTTAACCTGCAAATTGCACTGTACTCTTGGGGGTTGGATGGATTGTTTAATTGCAAGTAAAGTGAAGGAATAAAACACTGAACATGATTCTGTACTCTCTGCACAAGCAAGGGTATGAAAGTAGAGGCAGTGCAGCCTCCTGCTTACACAAAGTGATCGGCAGCATAGCACTGTGAGCAGACTAATTTCTTGATGGACACACCATATTGTCTCTCCTGACTTCAAGACTACCTACATCATCAGGATCCTCCAGTTCCTCCGCTTCTTGCTCAGGACTGATCCTTCCTTTTCTCCATTTTTCATTAGCAGAGCTGAATTTGTACAGGTTATCACCATGAAAACTTTCCTTTCCTTTCAAGGAGGCCCAGCGAGAGCCCTGGGAACTCCAGTTATGGCCACTGCACAGTTTAGGAGATTTGGGAAGCCACTTAATAGAGTCCTGGGAGGAAGATGACAAAAAAAAAAAAAAAAAAAAGGCAATGAATAGATTTTAAGAAAGCGATTGAAGTTTGTATGTGCAGAAATTGTCTGGCAAGTTCTGCAAGGTATTTTAGTATCTTGAAAATACTGGGTTTCCCCTTTTTACCTTGAGAGGTCCCTTCAGCCCCAGAAAGACACTTTGCCATTCAATAGGCAATACCGGTGATACAAAGAGCAAGCAAAGACTGCTGAAATTAGTGGAAGCCTTTAAGAACTTACATGAGCATGGAACCAAGCCCACCTTCAGCAACGTAAAGAATTAATGATCAACAACAGTCTTCAATAATGTTACACTCTGTACTATTAAGAAAACAAGAGTACTTAAGATCTTTAGTGACCATCTCATTTCACGACCCGAGTTAAAAAAAAAAACCTGTCAAGTCAACACCTCTTTTCATTATTCACTGAATAAAATGTTCCATTTGTTGAATGGTCCCAGTAGAAAGTACAATACTAAATTGATCTTTTAATGTTTGCTGATTTTCAAAGTGATTATAGTCCAGTTTTCCCAAAACATTCATTACTTATTTACAAACAAAAAACTCCACCTCTCTTCTTCATACACAGAATTTCATACGTGACAAGTCATGTGAGAGTTGCCTATATGCCTTAATTTCACTGAACTTCAGAAGCCATTTTTCAAAGTAACCTTTATATTTCTTTTAAGCTTTATTTTAATCTCGCTTTTAAATTTTCTTATGGTAATACGAATCCAAGGGCAGAAAGCAGCCTTATGCCATATAAACAGATACAGTAATGCACGTGATCCAACAAGGTAAAGAGATTGAGAACACAAATTAATAAAAAAAAAATATCAACAAGCTTCCAGTGGGGCAAGTCAGCAACACACCCTGAGTTTCACATTGTTTAAACGGATATTTGATTCAGATTTAACAACTGTTTAACCATGCTACATTAAAAAGGAAAAATGGAAGTGTAAGTTCACACACGTAGATTTCTTGCTGTTATCAGCATCCAGATGGCACTATCTTTATTAGATCTAAGCTTGAGAAAGAAAAGGAGATAGGACAAGGCTGTCCATGCTGAACATACTGCTTCATCTTCAGCTGTCGAAGGAGGTGCACTTGGGATTCTTTATGTGCTTTAGGTTTTAGGATGGCTGAAAAGACTAGGAAATGGAGAAGGACAGTATCTCAGAGTCTCATTGGAAAATATTATAGACCTTTCGGTGAGTCTTGGAAAGATCATAGCCCCAACAAAGGATTGGCCTCTATAGGAAGTTTACTATTAAACCACATTTTGAACTGCACTGACACTCGGTGATGCCACTGTTTGCTGATGAACAGCCCATATTTCTGGTTATTCTAAACCACACCACTCAGAGCGCTCAAGCTGATTGTCAATGTAGTTCATCAGTGAATTGAATGCAAAAGCAGCACAAATAATCATGACACGGTAGTGGCTTCTGGTCCTCCTGACAACTGGAAACACAAGGCAGCATATCTCCTGGTATTTCTTTACATGTGCCTTGAGTAAGGAAACACTGGACACCCTTAAATAGAAGCTTTGTCTTCTATGAATATTAACTAGGTGGATAGCACTTCTAATCAGATAGGTAAATAGCACACTAGCTGAAATTGTCTCCTATAGTTCTGGTCTGGTTTATTTCAGAATAGTTAATGTGACACCTCCCAGTGTTCAGGGTATTTCCAGACACAGTTTAAGTCCTTGTCAACTTTTAAGCTCGTTATGAAGTCATAAAACAATTTCACTTTTAAAATAAACATAGGTACAGTGAAGCATTTAACTGCTTCCAATGAAATTTCTCATCCTTGTTTGACCCCAAGTCCTAATCCTGAACAACAGCTTTTCAAACCTAGCTTGCCAAATTCTTCAAGACCAGTAAAAGGCTATACCCTCAAGGTAGATACAGATTTCAAACTAAGCTTATGCTGACAATCGCTTCACCATCTTAGGCACACATTCAACTGCTGTGGTAGCCCCCTGTATGCACAAGGAGCAAGCTGATATCCATCAGTAGATTTTACATCCCCATGCCCCCCGCAGCTGAGCTGGGGAGGCAGAGCTGCAGGGCACTCCTCCTCCCTGCCTTGTCTTCTCCTACGGAAGGATGCTGACACACAGCTATAAGGGAAATGCAGTATCTGTTTCACACGTCACACCTTCTGTAACCCAAGAGATTTTAGTCTTCAATATTCTTTGCCTACAGTACTTTAAAGTAAAATAGAAATAAAATGACAATTCTGGGTAAGAGCTGTTCATATTTTCACTAGGTCTATACAATACCATGGATGACATTATCTTTATGAAAGCAGTTTCACAGTTTGGTTATGTCAATGAGAAAAGATTGACTAGAACAACCAGAATTGCCTTTTAGCCTACATTTGCATGTACCTGTTGAAAGCAAAACATCCCATGGATTATGCTTTCATGAAATAAAATGAAGAAACAAAGCCAATCAATGCTGCTGCTGTGAGTGTAGACTAACATTACTTTGAAAAGAAAACTTAATCAGTTTTTACAACTTGTTCCTTATTGGTGAAAGAAAAGGGGGAGGGGGTGGAAATAAAAAGAATGTGGACTTTTAATCCAGAGTTCAATAGCAATATAAAGTGAATGCCAGGGATGATGTTGCTGGAGCCAGTGCCTGCTAGGGTGATACTATGCTCAGCTCTTCACATCCTTTTGGACAAAGCCAAGAGTAGCCAAGGTGCTGCACAATGCTGAGAGTTCCCAGTGAGCCCAGTCACATGAAGAGTTTGCTACAAGGAAGAGATGGAAGGTACAGCGCTGTTTGCTGTGCTTTAACGCAAAGCTACCACTTAATCTGAAATTTTACTGGATTTTGTCTTCCCTCCCAAAAATAAAACCAACTCCTTACACTAATGTATTAATCAAAATTGCATTAGATAGGCAACAAGCTTCCATCACCCCTCATGACAGAAATCACTACAGTTCAGCCAACAGATAGTAGATTTGTAGTCCAAAACCAAAGCTATCTTAAAAGACATCCAGTAATTCATTAGCTCATTCTCATTATTTTAAATGCTATAGGACCATGCTTTCAGACAAAAGAAGCTACTGGCAAATATTCTAATATTAAGAGAGAAAAATCAGTTCTCCTTACAAAATTTTACAGATGATAACTGGTCTTCTTACTACCCAGGTACGGTAGGAAGTTTCTTCTTGTGTTTTATACACGGGGAAGCTGAGACCCAAAAAGGTTAACAAGGTCCATGTTTTAAGTCATTAGTAGCAAACACAGAGTAAGGCACATAGATTTACATTCTCTTAAAAATATTTTTAATAAAACAAAGGTGGTGAATTCAGTATTTCGGACTTCAAGCTTCATGGGTATTTGGAGTGTGTAAACACTGATGTTTTGTAAATGCACAAGTAGTATTTGGAGGGATAGCCTATTTATCAGACTCAGCAGTTGTTATGTTCCATGGAAATACATTTTTCATCTCCCTTCATTAGTAATGATCCTAACAGATTGGTAACACCATTTTTCTTCAATATTTCATGAGCAAGTCAGGTGGGCTCCCTTTTTACCTCTTTTCAACATGTTTTTCATGTTTTCAAACGTGGTCTCTTCAGAATATAAGTATTCCTCTGTATCATACCCCTGGATGTTAAGAGGATAAATTGTTCTCATAAAGTACAAGGTGTCTATTCTGATAAGATCTCGCTAATAAATCCTCTAGAGAATTAATTTCCTCCAGGCAACAAAGGTGTGCAAACGCTATGTATCACCTTAAATCATTCTGGCAAATGAAAAAATTGAAACCACCCTAAAATTAAAAGCCAAGACATGAAAACCACCCACATTTCTGAAGTACTGTACTGAAACCATTCAGTGATGGTGAAACACCCTGACTTACAGCAACAGCCCAGTCACCATCAGCAAGCAGCAGCCAGTGCTTTCAGTTACCTAGAATATTACAATGGCAATACACCTTCTACTATTATTCAACTCAAAACCCCAGGTACACATTCTTCCGTATTATTGTATATAAAAAAAAAATAAAATAAAAATTGTTTAAATAGTTTAACTAATTAGTAAATATGGCAAAAAAAATGTATTTAAAGATATATTTCCTAGAATAAAAACATTCTCTTCCTTTTAAATATAACTATACAAAACTTATTCTACTAATTGAAACCTATTTCAGACTCATTCCCTTTTCAAAGTACAAAAGGCTGTCTCTAAAAGAGCTTTGTGTGATTCGCATGAAATAAGAATGAAAGCTAAACAAAATGCTGTGGAAACAAAGGCATCCTTGAATATGCTTTCACTGTAGAAGAGGCAACATAAAAGCTGTCCAAACAGATTATTGAAGCAAGCCTTTCACAGGAAAACTTTGCTAGCAGTAAATACATGACTTAATTTTAAGCTTAGATATTCAAATATTAACTAGCCAGAGAAGATTTTTGAATTTCCTGAAGACACCATCTAAAAAAACCCTAAAATTGCTGTAGGTTATCCTAAAAACATCCACTATGTAAATGCGTCTCAGCCTTGCAGTTTCCTCCCCTTTTGAATGGGGGAAAAAAAAAAAAAAAATATCAATCAGCAACATTCAGTCACTCTTTGTGAGTTTGTTTAGATTTTGTTTTGGTTTTAAGTTGCTTAGTGGAAGTCCGCAATATCACCAACAAACTATAGAAAAATTCACTCATGTTTTTAATCATGTAGTACACTGTTTAATCTTCCAGAAATACTTCCTCCTTCAAAATGGTTTAATGCAGCCCATTTATTTTGGGTGCTAAAACTGGCAAGTTATTGGGAAAGATCAGAGAATCAAACTGCTTACATCAGTAGCATAGTCCCATAATTTGCTCGAGTTTGCTTCAGGACCAAAAGAAGAGAGTTTCAGTCCAACACGAAACAAACTGAAGACTTAAGTCTTGTTTCTGCATTATTCTGTGGATGCTTACAAACTGAAATTCAAGCTGCTGATGCTTTGGTGGTATTTGCAAGCTGTGTGTGCATCCATGGGTTTTGAGGAAAGTTACCACAGTCAGCACTTGTCTACTGCAGTGGGTGTTGCTAACATTACCGTGCCTCCAGCTGCACATCCAGAGATTTCAGTCAAGGCAATGTTCTCCAGCAACAGATGAGCAGGAAGAGGAGAAGTGTCAAAGGTTACTGGACATCAGGTGTCCACTTCCCAGCATTAATGCCAAGGGAGATTTGCTAAATCCCTTCTCCAAAACATTGCTGAGGAGCCAGAAAGTTCTTTCCACTGACAACACTGATGTACTTTTCAGGAGAAATCTGTATAAAGATAAGCTACTAAAGACATCAGTGTTAATAGGCACATCCTGAACAAGTTACAAATTCGAAACCAGACTGCCATGAACCTTTGGTCCTGAAGTTAGTACAAGGTAGAGTCCAGCCACACGCACTGAGCCCCTCCAAACCCTCTGCTCTGGCTGAACCCAAGACTGGCCATCCTGTTGCCACAAGAACCATAAAAGAGGTGATAAAACCCATAGTCTCTCCAACATCCACCAGAAGAGGAGATAAGATGGC